GTGCATTGACTTTTATTTTTCATTTTTGGATTTTCCACCGCTGCATACAAATCCCAAGCTGCATTATCCCGCGTAATTCATCGCAGCGATTAAAAACAAGACGCATCAAATCCGCCAATCAGGAAGCGCATACGCACCCACTTGGTGTCTTATTGGACATAATGTCGCGGTTCAAACCATACGTAACCGGACAGTATCCGGCGATGCCCCCCGCGGCATGTGTTCGAAACACCGTGATGCTTTGCATCACTGTGCGTTTGTATGTAAAAGTGAATAAAACAGTTAAAGGAGTTGAAAACAGCACATTTGAATTTTGGCGCGACGAACGAAGTGATGGCGCCATGTCCACCATGTAGACAGAGGCTCGACACGTGGAGAGACAAAAGGGACGCGAGGTACAAAAAGGAGTGCAGCGCGGTTCACGGTTCAAACCGAACGGTTTTCCTGCCACAACGCCAGCCGACGGCGCATGAGTTGACGCCGACTCTCGACCAACAGGCAGCATCGGGGCAGCTTGGCTAAATGAACAAGAAGAGATACAATACGATGAGTTTTGTATGAGCTACGTGTAGATCGTCTTCCGCTGCAGAACGAGCTGGCGTGAACTTACTGTGTTTGGGCTCGTTGGATAGCTGCCAGTCGCAACCAAAATAGACACTTGAACGTTGAATTAGCTAGCAACACCGTAGACGCACAAGTTCCACATGCATTCATTGAACCCACAACTTGCGCACGATTGTGCACACATTGGCGCTAGTCCTTATTCGATTGCCGACGCAAAGCGAGGTTGAAGCCGCAAGCCTGATGTGGTCGCGGATTGGTTGCTTTCGCCTTGGATTTCATCCAATCACATGCGATTCGAAATATCTTGGTTGCCACTTCCAATCCCATGCGGGTCCCCATCGTCGACTGCTTCGGGCCGCAGGCCGCCATGCAGCTCCGCCAGGTCGACGCGCGTTCCTGGCGATGGCGCTACATGCTTCCTGTAGGCGTGTATGGACGTCGGCTTCTTCTACTTGCGCGGCCATGGCGTGCCCCGGCAGCTCCAGCGGGATGTGTACAAGCAGATGGCGGCGTTCTTTGCCCTGCCGATCGCCGAGAAGCGCAAGGCGGTCGCGGACAAGAACATGCGCGGGTGGGCGCCCATGTACGAAGAGACGCTGGACCCTGCGCACCAGACGAAGGGCGATACGAAGGAAGCGTACCATGTCTGTCGCGAGTCGCTGCCGGACGAGGTGCATCTTCCGCTCCACGACACATGCAATGTGTTTCCCGACGCCGCCATCCTGCCGCACTTCAAGACGATCACGACCGCGTACTTTGATGCGATGAGCCACTTGGGCTTGCACGTGGCGCGCGTCATGGCGACTGCCGCCGGCGCGCCCGGCGCCTTTGACGCACCGGGTATGTTTGACCGGTACATCATGGCTCGTGGTCCTTGTCGATCCTGATCCAGCCACCACGTAGTCCCATGACGGTGCTGCGCATGCTGCACTACAACGCAGAGGCGTCGAACCTCGCGAACGGCGTCATCGCATGCGGCGCGCACTCGGACTTTGGCTTGCTCACGCTCCTCTCGACCGACACGGAGCCGGGCTTGCAGATCGAAGGCCGTGACGGCCACTGGGTCGACGTGCCGTACGTCCAAGATGCTTTCATCGTCAATGTTGGCGACCTCGCGGGTAGGATTATGACGACGACGACAACTTGGTCAATTTGGATGGCTAGAGCGCTGGACGAATGGCCTCTTTCGATCGACGCGGCACCGCGTCGTCAACAGCACGGGCCGCGAGCGCTACTCGGTGCCCTTCTTTTTCGAGCCCAATTTCCACTGCAACGTCACGTGTCTTCCGTCGTGCGTGGATGCAGCGACGCCAGCCAAGGTATTCATCCTACGACGACAAAGCCGTCGTGAGTCCATCGAATTTAGTACCCGCCCATATCGGCTGGCGCCAACTTGCTCAACAAATACAGCGAAATCCACGCGAGCTACCCGTCGACGGCCCACGAAGCGATGCCGGCCAGCGTCCAAGGCGGTCATCACGCGTCATGGGCGCCATCGTAGCCGCTCTGCGGTGTTCTCACCTCGCTTTTGGTAATTGCATTGGATACTATATGCAGCGTGCTTAAGTTGTGATGGTCGAGCCGAGCCAAAGCAAGAAGAACTTTGCAAGAGCTAATCGTTCGCACAACAGGTCTATAACCCTGTGGATCTTCCTGGAGTGTCCGTGGTCGTAGCCGTTTGCATGACACGGTCGTTTACGTCAACTGCACTCGTGGTAATTTCGGATGAAGGCGTTGAGCGACGCTCGGTTCGTTCTCTCGCTTGATAGATAGATAGATGGATAGATGGATAGATAGATAGATAGATAGATAGATAGATAGATAGATAGATAGATAGATAGATAGATAGATAGATAGATAGATAGATAGATAGATAGATAGATATGACGTTTATTCGCGTTGATGAACACAGCAGTGCTGGCTGTAAGCTCAATGCATTGATTGATATGTGCGGCAATTCCGTACTACCTTGTGCCGTTGCTATCCACGGTGTGTACACCAAGAATGCCCCACGAATTGACACGCTATACCAGGTATAGCAGGGCTGGAATTGACACGCTATACCAGGTATAGCAGGGCTGGCTTGACGGCTTCGAAAATGAAGCATGGCGATGATGGCGCTGGAAGGATCGACTGCCCATGGTGGTTGCAGGCGGTCCATCGTCGTCTCGTCTGGAGCGAGTTTTTAGTGATGCCATAGGCGAAGGACAGGTGTAAACGCCATCCTGCCTTGTACAAGAATCAGATAACGTGAGGACATGACATTATTATATAGTGTGGACAAGTAATAAATAAGATTATATCATGTTCTTAGAACTGAAAGACGCGGCTCGGCGGCGGCGGCGGGAGGCGTGCACTGCAGGCGCGGCCCGCGAGGTATTTGAGGTGGTATTTGATAGCGTCTTCGCTCAGGCTGCGGCCGTACGTGGTGTCATACAGCTGCTGCTCCATCTTGGCGGCCAAGCGGAGCACCTTCTTCGAGACGACATTGGCCGACTGGAAGTGCTGCAACGTGGTCGCCTTGGCGGCGCTCGAGTGCAAGAGCCGGGCGATGATGTAAATGTGACGCTTCCGGTCGTCGTTGAGCGACGCGCTGCGGTGCATGACGATCGGCATGATTCTCGTGGGATGGAACGAAATTGGAAAATGCAACCCAGGGCAACCACCGTGATGTGTGCTGAAAAACGCACGCCTTGGGCACCTGTTTATACCCAAAAGAGACTTGAAGTTTGTATGACCCTGCGCCGCGTATCTATTGCAGCTGCGCCTGTTTTTGAGCTCGGGCCACAGACGACGCGACGTTGTCGTTGCGTTGCACATGCTACCGCCTTCCCTCGTGGGGTAGGACAGTTTGAAATGCATGTTCGGGAGGAAATTGAACCCGCACACTGCGACCAGTGCGACGCAAGAAAACACGGGGGAAGAGAAAACGCCTGTCGGCACGTCCGACGCCGTTGCCTATGCACCGCCTTGTGCATACACACCCCACGGACCGTCGATACATGTATATACACTCGGTGCGATTATCGATGCAGAGTCGAGACTGCGACAAGCCTCTGGACCTACGCCTTTGTGCTATCGACGTGCTGCAACGAGGCGTCGCCATCCGAGTCGTCAAGACCGACACCGGTGCGCTTATCAGCATCTCGAAACGACACGGCTTGGACACACTCAATCAATCACTCACATGTCAATCAATCAACCGTCTTCGGCGTTGAAATCAAAGGAGCGAAATCGAACTCGGAGATTTTGCACATGTGGCGCGACGCCTGAATGGCGAGGGAGTTGGCACCAGCATTTGATCGCTGGGATGCACACTTTTGTAAACGACGAGACATTGCTGTTGTTGACATGAGGTATTGCAATTATAAAGGTATGGTAGACTTCCTAATGCGCTCGTGAGGCGTGACCGGTGCGTCAAGCGAGGAGCGTTCGTGGCCTTGTTGCGGTATCGTACGACGAACGAGATAGCGTGCATACTAATACGGTCGTCATGGAGAGCGCTGGGCGCCACGACCAGCGATAAAGACGGCTAGATAGTGTCGATGAACGCTTCATGTTTCAGCTCGTCCAGTTCCGTACTGCGGAAATGACCTTGTTGCAAGCCGACGGCAGTAAGGTTGGAGACGGAACGCGTACTTGCAAGTAAGAGGGTCGAGAGTCCCCGACCTTCTTGCACGACGTCTATGTTCGTTCATAAACTAAAGGTGGTCGGCTCGGAGTGATGCCAGCAGACTTGACATATGCACCTCGATGGTTCATCCATTTTACACGAGAAAACGGTGTGCCATCGCTGTAGACTGGTAGTGACGACATGACCGGTATGCGTAAATAAATACATTAGTAGGCTCGATCCGTGTGGTTTTTAAAGCTTGACAACATGGTTGCGCGTCTGAAACCGCGTTCGGAACGCGCGGCCCGCCAGGTACAGCAAGTGACGACGAATCGCGTCTTCGCTTAAAGCGCGGCCATGCGTCATGACGAACAGTTGGGCTTCCATCTTGATCGCGAGTCCGAGAAGCTTCTTCGCGACCATTTGCACGGGTAGCGCCGTCTTGGACGCACTCGAGTGCAGGAGGCGCGCAATGATGTACACGTGCCGCTTCCGGTCTTCGGTCAAGTTGGAGCGGTGAAACGCGATGGGCATTTTCAGTGGACTTGTCGAATAAAATACCGGGTGCACGTTGGCAAATGATCTAGGCGCTCGTTATAACGATGTACGGGAGCGTTTTTTCCCGCAAAATCGACACCGAGCCGTGTTTTTTACACTCACTGGGAGGGAATGCGTCTTTTATGTCGCTACCCTTGTATGGTCGCTCCTTTCCATCGATACGAGAATGGTACTAGTAGGGACTCGACGAAAACATGCAATCGAGTCGTGTGTGGCCGTGACGCGGCGACCGCACGACGCGTGCGGCTGTCTACCCACATGCGTAAAAAGGCGACGTCAACGACAACGTGTATCACAAGTTGCTTCAACCACGTGTCTCTAGTGCCACCATCTATCATTTTGTTCTTTGGCGGTGGGTACTCCTTCACTGCGACGTCAGCAGTGATCGAGAGCTCTTGGCATGTGTTCGGCGGGACTCGGCGCTCGATGGCTTGGCGACGCCCCATGCACCTGAACGCTCCAGTGCGACCTCCAAAAATGCGGTTTTTAGCGTCCATCTGATAGGAAAATTCCGTGTCCGTTTTCGCTAAAGCCAACAATTATGAAGACTGCATCCATCTGAACGAACCGACTTGGTTTTGCTTCCGTTGGCAGTCGCATCGTCGTTAACACGAAGAGAAGACGTGGGTGCGTTCGGGGTCCTGGTGTCAAGGTTTCGGTGGTTTTCATTTCCCTCACCCAACCCCACGCCAGCCACGACAACCCAGAGGTCGAGCCGCGAGCGTGAGCGCGTCTTGCAGTACGTATCGTGTGGCCCAAGATACCGGTGTGCGAGGCAGTTTATTGACGCATCAGCCGTCTATCTTGTGCAGATCTTGGCCATGCACCTGCCTACACTTGGAGGCGTCCAGAGCAGCCACTCGCTAAATCTAGGTGTACCATCGTTCGAGTTCATTGAAGGCACACCCCAGAGTTTCAAAGATGCTCTATGCCTGTCCTCTCTTCCATCCACCGTCGACGCCTCTGCTTCATTTTTCCGATTCTGCAAGCTCAACAGCGAGATTTCTATACCATGCACACAATGACATAATCCTCGTCGCTTGACTTTTCCGACAGAGTCGGTGTGGTCTCCGCTTCAAAGACACGTACTAGCGCCATAAAAAAGGTGGCGAATTCGCTCCAACGACCGCACATACAGTAGAAGAAAGAGACGTCGTTTCTCTCGTCGCACGGCTCTACGCCGACGATACGCTAGCGCGTTCGCTCGTGCTTCTCTCTTGGATATCCACAGTTGCCTCGTCGCTCGTGGTCAAGGAACCAGCGCGATGCGCATGGACAAAACACTGTCGTGGGTATAAATAAATGTATATGTATTGGCGCATTAGAGACGCGTAAATAGGATGCTCACGGCACAAATCAGGCGGCGCTGCGGCAGGCACGCGACGCGAGAACGACCAAGTGCTTTCGGATCGCGTCTTCGCCGAGCTTGCGGCCGTGCGTCGCGCGGTATAGCTGGACTTCCATCTTGGTTGCGACGCGGTGCAGCTTTTGGGAGACGACCGAGGTGGGCACATTGGCTTTGGCTGCGCTTTCGTGCAAAAGGCGCGCAATGATGTACACGTGGCGCTTGCGGTCTTCGGTCATCGTTGCGAGTTGGTGAATCATGGTAGTGGTGGTTGGGTTGTTGTTGGTTGAAGCCAAATTGAAAAGTGTGATTTGTCTTGCGTGTTGCAGGCGAATTTTTTGCGTTTTTATCGCCCCCTACCACCTCGTGTCTGGGCGCGTCCTGGCTTTTTGTGGGAAAATCACGCGTTGGCAAAGACATGCGCCATCACTATGGGACGTCGTACGTATTTATGCAGAGCAACACGGCAAGTGTGAGCAACACGGCAACCGAAATCGAGTTGAGTTTTTACAATGAAAAAAAGAGCTGTGGGGGGTGCACCACTGGATGGGGGCGCTGCTGCACGTGGTCCCGAGTCCCATCATCCGTCAAACCGCGTTCACGTGATACGACGACTGTTTAGAGGAAGCTTTCGAGAGCGACCAGCCATGCATTCATTGCCTGCCATGTCCTGTTTGCATCGATGGTGCATTTTTCATGAAATAGGCTATACAAGTACTGGAATTGAATTGAATTGCTCCGTAAAGTGACGGATTCGATTTCTCGCCCAAAAAAGCCAGCGACAACTTTTCTCTCGTCCAAGAACCCAAGAGAGAGAAAGTTGAGCGACCACTTTCAGTCGTTACGAGTGTCTGTACTAATCGTTGAAACACACGGGTTTGACGGGACGCGTATGACGTGTGCTCCACCCGCACATGAATGGGTTGCGTCCTAGACCGCTGCTCGTACCGCAAATCAGCTGGTAGACAAAGGACACGACACATGAATGTAGACTTAAATCAACCAAATGCCTCTTGCACGACGACACTATGGCTCCTCTTGAGGCGCAGAAATGAGACAAGAGTCGTGGGGTGTACTGAATGCAGTGTGGTGTCCGCTGTCCCAGTCGAAGCGACGGTGTTCACAAGCAACCATCGGTACACATGAAAGATGTCGTCGATCGTTGTTTCTCTTGTTCCTTGAAGCATTTCTCCAATGCCATTTTTCAGTCTCGCGGGAATTCCTCCTGCACATTCTTCAAACATGACGATCGTCACGCAAACGATACAAAGAAAACATGATGACGTGGCTGCATGTGTGCCTAGCATCGCTTCGAACGCCATGCACCACGATCCACCGGCAGTTGGCATTCGTGCAGCGAGTATTCATGCATGCGAGCTTGTTACAAGCCAAGAACTGCGCAAACCCGACCTTTGACAAGGTACCACACACATCTCAATCACACAAAAGATGGTCTTAAATACATGCCACCGAGGCCACTGCACCAAGTCGAAAACGGCACCGACAACGTCACACCGGAAGGATCTCGACGCGGCTTTTCGCCGCCGTTCGCTTGCACGCGGCATGGGCAAGGGTGACGAGGTAGTGTCGAATTGAATCTTCGCCCAGCGGCCGGCCTTGCGTCGCCTCGAAGAGCTGCTGCTCCATCTTGGTGGCGAGCCGCAGGAGCTTCTTGGCCACAATCGCCGGTGGGACGCGCGTCGCGCCCTTGTCGAGCAGTCGTGCAATGATGTAAACATGGCGCTTCCGGTCGTCTGAAGTCGGCAAGTGCATCGGCCGCGTCAAATTCCAAAGTGACTGGGAACAGATTGGTATGCGTGCTGCGGCTGCTGCTGACATGGGTGAACCAGATGGCTACACGATGTAATAGCACCAATGCGTGTTTATACGCGGCCAATCGGTGCTTGATTGTATGACCCAATAACGTGCAAAGACAAGTGCGCCACCGGGTTTATGCTGCGGCGAGCGCGGCTATGCGACCGCAACCCACGTCAAGACACACCAGCTGGTGGTCCTCATACTCGGTGCAAGGTTCTTAAATGGAGTCATTGCGTGATGCAACCAGGAGGCAGCAGCCAGAGCACACGAATCACACGCCATGAACACGAATCACAAGTGGCAGGCAAAAGCACCAGCGGCGACTGGCCCGAACAATAAACACTGAACAATAACGCACGCTTGACAGCACATGATACCACTATATTGCTTCTTGTGTTATGTCGTTCTCGTCGCCTGATCGATGTGACCAATGACGGCGGCATCGATCCGCTTGCCTTTCACCCCTTGGTCTGTGTTGTGGACGTGCTTTCAACGGCAAGAAGGGTTTGGAAGTGCGTCGCCGCCTTCTTTCTAAAAATCGAAGACTTTAAAGGAAAAAAAGAATTCGATTTTGGTGGCTGGTCTTGGTCATTTCGTACCAGAGGCACCACGTCAGCTGGTTGTGCCACAGTGGATTCACCGACGTCCTGGTACTATCACAACAACAGCACGTGTCCTATGTGACCGTTGACTCCATTTTGAACCAACGCCCTTGACCAGAAAGAGGTTCTCATCACATCGTCGGCCCCCCATTGCACATCATTGGCTACACACACACCTGTACATCGAGGACCGTGGTGCTTGGAGAAGCTACAACGTCGGTGTCGAAGCGCGCGATGCGGTGTCGTTCCTCTCGCTCATAATGCAACGCCGTTGCGATGAGTACATTCCCGTGAGATGGCAAGAAAAGAGTTGAAATCGAAAAAATAAATACTAGAACAAAAGACGTGGTCGTCTTAGATTGGCACGGTGCGCACCCAGCTCTTGCAAGCGCGTGCTGCGAGGACCACGAGGTACTTTTGAATCGACGTATCGCTGAGCTTGCGGCCGTGCGTCGCGTCAAAGAGCTTTTGTTCCATCTTGAGCGCGAGGCGCACGACCTTCATGGAGCGGGCATGGGGGGCAGCGGTGCCTTGGACGCGCTGTCGTTCAAAAGTTGTGCGATCATGTAGACGTGGCGCTTGCGCTCGTCGCTCAAGCGGGCGCGCGGTGTGGTCATGGCCAGAGGCATAGTGAATGGTTGCGTACAAAGAGGGAAAATGTATTGTGATCGAGTTCGGATCGTATTTCCGGGCTGCAGCGTGTTTTTGCAAACCCGCGTTATAACACGCAAGGTCGCACGTTCTATTCCACGCGTTCTTGCCGTTTAGCTGGCCATAGCCAAGGCATTCGGTGGGCCGGCACAAAAACAAGGCCTGTTATAACTTGCAGTAGGAGGTCGGGGGCCGTTGGAGAGCGCGGGTTTATGCAAACGCCCTCACAGCAACATGAGTGTACGAGACGCGGATTCGGATTTGCTCCAAATACGCTCAAGTCGATTTTACACCATACTAGAGTCAAGAGAGTCTTGGTCTGCACAAAGCCGCGGCAACTTGAAACGCGCCGGACCGTTCGGCAAAGCTTTGCAGGTTAAACAACCGCTCCAAATAGGGTAAATGCTGGTCCATGGCAGGATCCTGCGGTTTAAAGCGAAAAACGCACGCGGCCCTACAATGGCGTGCGACTTGGGATCCAACTACGTGCTTTTGCAACTACAACAAAGACACATCGCCCTGTCGCCCCCTGAAGCTCCCCCCTATCAAACGACGCGCTGCAGTTTCAAAAAAGGTGACTGCAAGATCTACTTCCCAGCATCCATCGACTATCAGCCCGGCAGTTTGGACACTATGGCAGGCTCCAGAGGCGCGCTGAAATGGATGAACTTGATGTTACGCGCACGCTAGCGGGTTGTCACAAAGCGAACTGCAACGCACGATTGAACGCGGAATCTTCTCGAGAGACACTATCAGGTTTATTTACTACGATACGAGAGGAGCTAGCATCGACGAGGCGCACTGAGAGAGAGGCGCAAAGACGCTTTCCCAACGGCTCGGTACCGATTTCAAGTTCAGGTGGGGGTAGGGTAGGGTGAGGGGTAAAAACCGGGTTATTCTATGTAAAAATGAGCGCACCTGCCCGTTGCTTTCGCTCTTGGGCATACTAGTAATATACAACCGTAGTAGGTAGGATCGTGGACCCACCATCAAGCCTTTGATGCTTCTTGACAGCGTACGAGTCGCTGCCTGTTTCCAAGACTGGTCTCGCCGGCCGGTTTGGGGTCGGTCCTCGTCAAGCATCCATCGCTCGCTTCCAGCCAGGGGTAATTATGTATCCCCGCTTCCAGCGGCGTGACGTTAGAGCTTTGCGCAAGACGTACAGGGTCGATGTGAAAGACTCACGTGTCGTCGCTTCTTGGCCGAATATTAAATACTACGAAAACAGTCCATAGAGACAAACTTGGTCAGCGCGTCGGCTTGCTGCACGCGCGGGTCGCGAGGAAGACGAGGTGCTTTCGAATCGCTTCGTCTGTGAGGGCGCGGCCGTGCGTCGCTGCGTAGAGCTGGTTTTCCATCTTGACCGCGAGTCGCAAAAGCGTTTTGCCCACTTGGTGCGGCGGCACACTCGACTTGGCCGCGCTCTCATATGAAGGAGGCGGGCGATGATACCGACATGGCGCTTGCGGTCGTCGGGCAGCGACCGGCGGGCGCGGTTGGGCATCCTCTTCTTCTTCTCCACGAAAAAAACACAAACTGACGTCGGTGGCGCTTTTTTGCCCACCGGCGCACGTTTTTTTCCACACAGCAACGTCTATGTCACCTCGTTTTCATAGACATGCTCGCGGCGACTGGAGGCATCGCAGTATGTACCGTGTACCATGTGCCATCGGCGAGCCCATCGAGAGCGATGGCAAGGTATAGCAGAGCCGCCGATTAAAGCCGCATCAAGACGACAACGCCGATCATGAGCTCGTGCGCATCGCTCGCGTTTAGAGCCGATGCAAAGGATGCAGACTCGGCCATAAAGCCAGCGTACGAGCATGGACATGAAAGCTCAAGGTCCATGACAGTTCGAGAAAGGGCGAGGACGCGTTGTAGACGTTGTACGCGACAGTGTGTGCGACGGGGGTGATCGGTTGCGCTGGGGGTCGCTGTCTCGGGTGGCACTCGAGATGCAAAACTCTCGAACCAGTTGACCGTTCAAGGACGAACGCCTCGGCCCAAGCCTGCGAGAGTACCAAGTAAGCTTGCATATAGACGACTTTCTAGTATGCTACGCCAGAGCGACGATGATCGGTGCTGGACACCTTCGCGTCGAAGCGATCAGAGCACAATCAAAAAGGCGCTTGCAAGTTATTGCGTAGAAGTAAGCTCCAACGTCGCCACAGCAACCTGTTATACCCATGCGGTGTACCTCACTGGACAACGTTGGCGGCCATAAGGTCGAAGCAGTCGGCTTATTAAGATCTCGATCCTGTGATCTCCACCTGTCCAGTAGGCAAAAGCACGCCGCGGTGCCATGCAAGTACACATCCATTTGCATCTTCTCGGAAGCGTGCGTCTAGCTAGTATGTAAAGGTACGAAAAACGCCTCTCTGTCAACGACCGGGAAAGACTGCGTATTTTGCTACACCGATACATGAATGGACGACTCGAGAGAGGCAAATGATCTGAATCGCTACACTTGAATGAATACATATACATTCAGGTCAGCGGGATGTGGACGAATTTAGAGAGAGATGGTAGGGCGACGTTCTGTGCTGCTGAAAATGAACCCGGTGCACGCATCCTTTCAGAGGGAATGTACACGTTGTCCTTGTTGCCACTCGAGTAGCATTCGTACGATGTCGACGTCTGCATTTCAACTTGAATGCTGGTGCATTGGCGTCGTCGCCGTCGGTTCTATGTATATCCCCGACCCTGTACAATGGACTACTATTTTTACTCGATCGAGTGGCTTTAATTATACAGAGGGCTATACCAAGAGATGACCTTAATCAGGATACGAAACGGCGCGAAGCCGTGCAGCGGTTGCAGCGAATTCCAATGGGCACGGAGAAAGTACTGCCGGGCAACAACGAGGTGCACGCGCGCTTGAACACGCAGGTGCTGCTGCAACTCCAGAAGAACAAGGCGATCCTTGCCGTGGGATTCTTCCTCAGCTGCATGTGGAACCTCGCGGCGCCGATCAAAGCGTGGGCGCTCTCCCGGTATGGATTCGCGTCCACGTCCGACACGCTCGTGCTGGAGCTCGATTGGAACACGGTCGTAAACGGCCGGTTCCTCACGTCTCTGTACACGTCGTCGGGGATTCCTCTGGCGTCGCCGATGGAGAAGACGCGCTACATCAACGTGTTTCTAGACTTTATGGTGGCCCCCCGCTCCGAGTTGCGCTGGGTCACTTCGCTACTCGACACGAACCGCACCTTCCAGATGGATGTGGACGGCGTCGCCAAGCGTCTCGGTCTCAACGGCAGCCGCGAAGTCGACCAATTCAATGTCGATGTCGCTCCGTTTGCGGCGACGGGGTTTCCGCTCTGGGGCAACGAAGTCATTTTCGACTATGTTCCGCCGACGACGCAGGACGTGGGGCTGCACCAAGTCAGCGAAGCTCTGTTGTGTTTGAAAGGCCTCACCCCCGAAGAGCTCGTGAACCTTCAGTTTCCAAGCAACTTGCGGCCTTATTCCAGTGCATCGGACGCGGCGGCGATCAACATGTGGCGCAGCAAGGTCTTCCCCGATTTACGCGCGTGCATGGACCGGCGGGCCGCGCTTCTGGCATCCGCGACAACGCCCGCCGACGGGCTACTGGCGCTGGCCACCGAGCTCGCATCGACATACGACCTCGGGCTTGTCAACGTTGCGGGGCACCACCAGCTGTACACGCCGCAGACGTTCTGGGATGGGTTTGTCGACATTTCAGGCTACCGATCCGGTTCGGTCACGTACCAAATCAGTGGTCGAGACCCGTCGACCGTTCTCACGACAGGCAGCGGGCACTTGGATGCGATCTTGAACCCGCGCGAGACTGCGTGGTACTGCACGTTGCAGTACGTCAACCCGATCTCGGGGTTGCCGAACGCGACCGAGTGTTTTGCCAAGGTAGCGACAACGTTGCCAGCCTTTTTCAACGGCAAGTACCTCTCGGTGCTGGCGGGTACCCGCTACAACGACAACAATGCATTCGAGAGGGGCCCTTCAAACCAACGCATCACGCCGTACACGTACAAGCGCCGGAAGATCGCACCACTCCACTCGATCTCGTATGTGAACGTCGGCAACCTCTCGGCGTGGCAGACGCTCTTTCAAACCATCGTCGCCAACGTCACGCAGACACCTCGGACAACCTCCAATGCGCTCGAGGAAATGTGTTTGGTGGGCGACGGGTGCTTCTCGACGTGCATGAACTCGTCGGCAAGTGGCGGCACGACCGTGACCTACATGCGGGGGGCGTCTGCCAAGCGTCGGTCGACACAACCGCGCACGGCCTCGCTGACGTGTTTGTGGATGTCCGCTGCTTTGGCGCAGGCACTTCGCACCTCCAAGTGACGTACCAATCGCTCAACGGTGTACGCAACACGCTCGTGATCAACGGTACGGCGGGGCCCGTCGCGATCCTCGCGTGCTTGATCGGGGGCGCCCCCGACACCGAGTACCCCGAGCTACGTTATGGACATGCTCGCCCAAGGCACACAGGCT